CAAGTTACAGTGAACTGCACTGCTGATGTACTTTACCCTCCAATGGGCCAAGAAACTGCCCCCGAAGTCACCTTCACATTGGAAGGAGATATTAGCAAGAACCCCGATGAAGAAGACAACACGTTTTATCAAAGACTCAAGGCCATGAAGAAACCTCTAGAAGCCCAAAATATTCCAGGTATAAAAATATGGCATGGCAAAAAATTTTTTTTCAACTCTAAAATCAATCTCATTTATCTATGCTCAAAACTATCAGATGCTAACTATGTTGGAAATACACAGTGTACTGGCTTTTGCAAAAATACTCATTTCCAGTCTAAACCAACAAAATGAGGCCTCAGAACTTCATAGATTCATGGCTAAAATTATTTTTTACACATGTATGAAGGAAACTAATACATGATTCAGAACTGTGATTTTTTTTTTTAAACACTAATACTGTATACAATAATTGATCATATAAATGTCTTCCCTGCCAGACAGTTTTGGAAATATATCTCCAGAAATGAAGCCAGTTCGACACTTAGCCTGGGTTGCCTGTGGTTATATAATATGGCAGAATTCTACTGAAAACACATGGTATAAGATGGTAAAAATTCAAACTGTCAAGCAAGTGGTAAGTAATTTCCATAAAAATACTTTATTAATGGGGCTAATATTTATTAAAAATACTAAAATTCATAACTTGTAATATTATACCTATAGTCATTTTATACTTTCTGGGTTTTTTGGGTTTTTTGTTTTTAAAGTGAGACAGAGTCTACCCTGGGTAGAGTGCCGTAGAGTCATAGCTCACAGCAACCTCAAACTCTTGGGCTCAAGCGATTCTCTTACCTCAGGCTCCCAAGTAGCTGGGACTACAGGTGCCTGACTATTTTTCTTTTTTTTTAAGAGGTGAGGTCTCACTCTGGCTCAGAATGGTCTCAAACTCCTGAGCTCAGGTGATCTACCTGCCTCAGCCTCCCAGAGTGCTAGGATTACAGGTGTGAGCCACCGTGCCTGGCAGAATCTAATATCTCAAAGGTGGGAGTCAGTTACAATCAGGATTAGAGAAAGTGGAGAGTTGTACGAAGAGCCCCCCAAAATAACAGTAACTGATCCAAAAAATTGCTTGGTTTGGCTAAGAGATGCAAACCACAGGCCTCCTTTGCCTCAAACTTGCCTTCCTAAAACTGTGCTGGGTTAGTGTGTACTCCCTGAGCGCATACTGGCAAGAAAACATCACAACAGCAAGGCAAAGCCAAGGATTCCAGCTTTCTGTTAGTAAGTAGTATTTAGACTGCACAAAAAGCCCCATAGTAATGATAGTTGTTAGTTGAGTCAAACTGTGATGCTTCACTCAAACCATTTTCTAGAGGAAGAAGATTTGGGAAAGTTTTGTTAGTTGAGTCAAGACAGAATCCCAGGTGTACTATACATCTGTAGTCTGGGTTCTACATCCATGGATTCAACCAACCTTGGACTGAAAATATTTGAGGAAAAAAATGGATGGTTGCCTCTCGACTGAACACATATATGGGCTTCTTCTTGTCATTCCCTTAATATCGCACAACAACTAATTTCAAAGCATTTATTTTGTATTGGGTATAAATCTCTATAAATCTCTTATAAATAAGGTAGAGATGATTTAAAGTAAATGAGAAGATGTGAGTTGCTTATATGCAAATACTACACCATTCTAGTAAGGGACTTGAGCATCCATGGATCTGGTATCCTGGAACAAATCCCCCGTGGATACCAAGAGACTACTATACTTGTAATGCCTTTCCTTATATTTAAACTGCTATATGAATGTCATCAGAGTCACTTTTTTATGGCAGTCACAAGTGAAGCTACACTTTTAAGAGAGCAAAGTCTTGAGATATCATCTAGCATCCGGTTTTTGTGCTCAATTTAATACAGATTATTTCCTTCAGCAACCTAATTTTTGTGTTCAAATTGCTATTGTTATGCCATACTGAAACTATCTCTGCATCCTTCCTCTACTGACATGGTGGTGCCACAGCTACGTACGAGACATGGCTTTCTCTCTCTCTCTCTCTTTTTTCTTTTGTAAGGCTTGCTGCATCGCCTCTGAAATAGTTCCACTATTTACTCCTTAGCTTGCTGTATATAATTTCCTTTTAGTCATAATTACCCATTTAGTCATACCCATTTACAATCTTGTATCTTGTATCATACCCATTTACAATCTTGTATCTTACTTGCTGCCAGCTTTGCTTTCTTAAGTCTGATGTGATGACTAGAAGTGCATTTTTCTAGCCCTTAAAGAGATAAGAATAAAGTCTTTGATTTTAGCTTTCGTTTTTTTTTTGAGACAGAGTCTCACTTTGTGGCCCTTGGTAAAGTGCCATGGCCTCACAGCTGACAGCAACCTCAAACTCTTGGGCTCAAGTGATCCTCTTGCTCAGCTTCCCTAGTAGCTAGGACCACAGGTGCCTGCCACAACACCCACCTGATTTTAGCTTTATAAAGAGGTTAAACAGAAGAAAAAAATTAAGCTAGTATCTAATAGAAATTAAGAAAAACAGATTGCAAAGAAACCACAACAAACAGTTTCAGTTAGCTCCATGAGCAAAAAGGCCTTTCCAATTGATTTGTTTCAGCTTGCTGGTAACAAGTGGAACACCTTTCTCCACAGGCTTTTGTACCACTTATTAGATACCTGTGGGCACTGGAGGGCAAGATACCCACTTACGGTACTCAAGAGTGTGATGCCAAAACCTTACATAAATATAATAACATTTTGAGAAACAGAGCAAACCTTTTTTATAATATGTATTCATAGACATCATCCTTGGTTACAACATTCCTCTAAGAGTTTAAAGTCCTCAAATAATGGAGTCCAGGTACAGAGGTCATAAAAATGATATGATTTTTCAAGTCATATTTTTAGCAAAATATGCATAAGACAGTGGTAATAGTTTCACAAAAAGAAACTCCTATATTGTGATTTTTTTAAATATTCATGAGATTCTCAACAGAAAGATATAACCACAACTTCTTTAGGTCACATATACATATTAAATATCTTTATCTATTAAGATCCAACATGCAAGAAACCCTTATTGATTGTTCCTGTTATCTTAAAGGATATTCTTTGTTGATACATTCAAAGATAGATTTGTTCAAGATACTAAAAAGAGAGAATAGCATGCTTTTATGTGACCTGGGTCCACATTTATAATCACTGTTACCTAAAGGCCATAGGCACCTGTGCTGCCTCGTGGCATCCGGAGGCCCTGAGTGAGTACAGCACGTCTCTGATGGTGATGGCTTTAAACTATGTGCATGCAGCATTTCTGTATAGCTGATCCCATAAACACATTTTATTCCCAAAGCAAAAAAACAGATCGAAACTTAGATCTTAGATCAAAACCTCTAAGTATAAAATCAAATAATTTGTTACATTTTACTATTTTCAGTTTTCTAAAAGAGAATTTCTATTATAAAACTGGTTTTTTCCAGTATAAACGCACATTCATTGTTATAGTTTATCCCTTAAATGATGCTTTTTTTGAACAACAAAAACATTAAAGATTCTGAGATAAGAAACTACACACTGTAATGCTTATAAGTAGCTACTGCAATTTGGAAACTAAAAACAAGTAGACAATTTTTAGAGTAACATAAAATCATGATTTTTAAAATGTAACTTGAAAGAACACTTTTATAAGTGTTTTTCTATGAGGGTAAACTGAAATAAATTATGACATTTAGTTTTTATTTTTACCTAAATGTAAGTATAATAATCATTTACTGATCAAAGCTGATTTTTAAAACTAAAATATCATTTTTGCCAATGATACTAAGTTTTAAACACTAGTTTTTTTCCCTATTTCCACAGCCAAGAAACGATGACTTTATTGAATTAGACTATACCATTTTACTTCATGACATAGCCTCTCAGGTAAGGTGTCATTTATCCTTAGTTGATACCACACTGAAAACTGAGCCTCCCTTTAAAGCCATAGTATGCTTTACTAATTTTGACTCTAAATCAGACTTCATATAAATTCAGATAGGTACCAGGTTGAAGTACATAGTAGAACCTCCATACGTGAACATAGCTCCCTATACTGTCCACCTTCTTAAACGGATATAATTTTCATACACCAGCCATGTGTATGGCTGTACTCAATGGCAGTTCCTTATGTTGGCCAGTTTGTTACAGTCCTTGAGGTGGTCAACTTAATATATTAAATTGATAGCAGTTTAACTTGTTTGGTGCTATTGTTTATGTAGACTGTTTTGTCTCCAACAAAATATAAACCCAACTGTGTTTTCTGAATTTTGTCATGGCATTAATTTTCTTTATTTGCAGGAGATCATTCCCTGGCAAATGCAAGTTCTGTGGCATCCACACTATGGCACCAAGGTAAAACATAACAGCCGTCTGCCAAAGGAAGCACAGCTGGAATAAACCATGTGGCTGACACTGGGATGAATGCGAACATGACCCTCAATGA